TAAATATGTGAAGAATATATGCATTTTGCTGTAAAGAGTTAACTCGTTTTAAATTAAAACTTTTGATGGATGTCTTAAGGGTGGGAATTGTGTGTTGTTTTTGTTATTTGACTAAAATTAGTCCATTTTGTGTGAGTGTTGAGCATTAGATGAGGGACTAGTTTCTCAAAACCTATAACAAGAAACGCAACTCATATTTCTTGAATTGAAATTTAAATAAATTTTGTGGCTATTATGCGGTCTATTGACGCTTTCGGGATATAAACCACGATTCAAATATATATTTAGAAATATATCAGATATTTGTGGAAATTTGGGCACAAAAATAACATTTTATGATAGAATGATACGTAACGAGCAAACAATATTTGATACTAATTATATTGCATATTATGGCAAAAAAGATAACCTAGGTCATATTCTACAGAATCCTTATAAGCAAAATATCTGTTTTAAATTTATTAGAAATTAATTTAAAATATACATTAATGTAATTATGTTTGAAGTTACTTTATTTCATTGCTAAATATTTAATCTTAATTTTTGTTTTTCATTTCTAGTATTATTTTTAACGAAATAATATATTTTCGCATATTTTTAGTCAAATTTTAATCATTTAATAAGAAATCCTTCACTTTTTCTTAATGATAGTCCAAACGAGTCCTTCAAAAGTCAGTGGAAAATATTTGTGCGAAAGTGTTGAATTGAGTGAAATAACACAGTGTTTAAAGTCATCAAACTTAAGGCTTAATAAAACAACTGTCAAGTGATTACCCTATTATTAAATTTGCATATTCTTATAGATCTCTCAACACTTAAAACTATTTGATTAACACTTTTTATGTGTTTATTTATGTCACACTATATTTTGGTTTAATTTTAAACTTTATATTTTAGTTTTTATGATTATTTTAATTCAAAATGCAATTTAAATATTAAGTGTTTTTATGAAATTTATTTGCAATGCATTTATGATTAAATTAATTGAATATAACATAAATGTTTTAATGTTAGCACACATTAAACTGAATTTAATGAATAAAAAAGATTTTTAATGAATAATTTTGGTAATAAAACATAAATTACCAAAAATTATACATTGATAATTTGTCATACATAATGTCTACAATGTAAATTTATAATTCTTAAATTGTAATAGTGTTCAATTTAGTTCCGGTGCCACCCATTGTAGTGCACAAAATATAGTGTTATATAACGTTTGTTTCCCATATTCAGACACATCTCTGGCAACAGCACAGGTATGCCTACGGGTGCTCTCAAACGGCACCAAACAAGTGACACAAACTTTATTATTATTTGTTTCTTTATAAAAACATAACCTAAAAATTGTGTTTCAATTGAACAATGAATGCGTGAAATGAATGCAAGAGATAAGAAAGCACTCGTTTTTACCATCAAATTCAGTATTTAATGAATGTTTCCTTTCCTTATAGTTATGAAAATACATTTATATTTTTATATACTTTTTTGGGATTCATTAGCGATAAAATTTTATTCAACGAAAATGAAAGGCTAAACACAATAATGATTAGAAATTCATATATTTTTTGTTACTCTTTCTCTTGCTTTTGGTGTGTTTTTGAAGGGTTTTAACTTTATTTTGCATAAAGTTTTAGGAAAGATGTTAACTAAATATGTGAAGAATATATGCATTTTGCTGTAAAGAGTTAACTCGTTTTAAATTAAAACTTTTGATGGATGTCTTAAGGGTGGGAATTGTGTGTTGTTTTTGTTATTTGACTAAAATTAGTCCATTCTGTGTGAGTGTTGAACATTAGACGAGAGACTTGTTTCTCAAAACACATAACAAGAAACGCAACTCATATTTCTTGAATTGAAATTGAAATAAATTGGTGGCTATTATGCGGTCTATTGACGCTTTCGGGATATAAACCACGATTAAAATATATATTTAGAAATATATCAGATATTTGTGGAAATTTGGGCACAAAAATAACATTTTATGATAGAATGATACTTAACGAGCAAACAATATTTGGTACTAATTATATTGCATATTATGGCAAAAAAGATAACCTAGGTCATATTCTACAGAATCCTTATAAGCAAAATATCTGTTTTAAATTTATTAGAAATTAGCGATAATATAATACATTAATGTAATTATGTTTGCAGTAACAGTATTTCATTGCTAAATATTTAATCTTAATTTTTGTTTTTCATTTCTCGTATTAGTTTTAACGAAATAATATATTTTCGCATATTTTTAGTCAAATTTTAATCATTTAATAAGAAATCCTTCACTTTTTCTTAATGATAGTCCAAACGAGTCCTTCAAAAGTCAGTGGAAAATATTTGTGCGAATAAAATAACTTAAGAAATGCATTAAAATTTTGCTTTAATTATTTGATTGAAAAATTGTTTTTCGTTTGATTTTTCAATTAATTGTTGTAATAAACAGTGAAAACGAAGAAATTGTGTTCAGATTTGAGATAGAAATTCAAGTTTTGGCAAAACGACAAAAAATGAGATTAAAATTCAAGACTTTATAATCAGAAAAAACAACTGATTATTACGTGAATGTGTTTTATGCCAAATATGTGAGGCATTCATACAAATCATCATAAATTGTGTGAATCATCGCTTAATTATCACTACTTTTTGTTACTTTATTTTTAATTTAAAACATTTTTTACGCAAAAAAACTTATTTTTTACATCAATATTACTGTTAGTTTGCTTTACACAACAATATAGATAATGATTTATTTGATCGATTGATAAGATTGTGATCGCAATTAACACACAATCATGTGTTTAACTTATAGTGAAATATACAATGTATTGCTTATAATCATTGTTTTCAATACAAACACATCAATTGATTGTAAATGTAATTAACTTTTTAACGAAAATAATGCAAATAAAAGAAAAACTTGCAAAACTTTGTTACAAACATTTAATAATTAAAAATAATTATCAATTAAACAATTTCTGGATTCAAATAAATACAAAAAATCGATGAAAATATGATTAAATGATACAAAAAAATGCAAATTAATTAAAATCTAACGACAATTAACTCATTGTTTTGTTTGCAAACTCTTTTCGTAATGAGTTTTGAATGGTTTCGCAATTTTGAAGCACTTCTTGAGACCGCAATTGAGACACCGATTGACCGCAAACTTCTTCTTCAGACGCCAGCCGTCGGTCGCCAGCAATGAGTAACACTTTCGACATCTCTTGCGTTTGAAGACATCGGCACCGATTGAGTGGATCTGATTCTTCAGCGATATCTCTAACATCACGTGTCCGTAAAACGAGACCAACTTATGGCTGGCCATCGACGCCGAGTCCATCGCCAGCAGGCATTCGCTCATCTGCTGAAGATATGCCACACGTTTGCAGACATCCATCCGATGGACACTTGTATTGTCACAACTGTTGGTCCGATTATGAGATCAATTCACTGCTCGTAAAGACATTTCAAATGTATTGTCAATCAATCAAAACATTTCATCACTTATTCATTGATAATAACAGTGTATTTATGGCTAAAGTTTTGATACCTTTCATAACAAGAGTAGTCAATACAAAACAGTATAGATTTGTTGACTTCAAAAGGTACCACATTTTCCATACAAATAGTATGTAATAAATTGCATGTGTATTATGGGTACAGATTATTGTAATAATTTGTAGACATTTAGCACAGTATTAGACGCTATAATGTGAACAAAGAATAGTGTGTTTCCACGTGTTGTACACATCATAACAATAAAGCGACGAAACCATCGGTTGTATTGATTTTGTTGACAACGGATCTGATTATCACTGAAGACAAGTAATGTCTCAATCGATGGACTCGTTGTTCAGCGCTTCCAATGTGTTGATAAATGAAGTGCAAGAGATTCTGTTCCCGCGATTGGAGTCACTGATCGCTTCCAACGACCCGAACAACAGTCTTCTGGTCGAGTCGGACATCGAGTCACGTCTGAAGCAATTGGACGCCAATTGTGACAAAATGGAGATAATTGTGAACAAAAGCGGTCCACACGAGAGGCCGCAGATGAAGATGCGTTTGGATCAGTTGCGGTACGACTCCAGACACCTGTTGTCGTCGCTCCGGAACCTAAACCACAGACGAGTCGAGAGGGAAAGACAGGACAGGGAGAGGGAAGAGCTGCTGACGCGACGCTTTACCACAAACTCCGAGACCAATATAGCGATGGAGAACTACTACGTGGACGAGAATACGCGGCTCAAGTCATTAGAGTCGAGAGGGAAAGACAGGACAGGGAGAGGGAAGAGCTGCTGACGCGACGCTTTACCACAAACTCCGAGACCAATATAGCGATGGAGAACTACTACGTGGACGAGAATACACGGCTCAAGTCATTCAACACCAATCTGGACGACATGATGGCCTCGGGTTCGGCCATTCTGTCCGGTCTTCGGGACCAAAGAGGTATACTGAAGGGCGCCCACAAGCGCCTGATGGACATCGGGAACTCATTAGGTCTGTCCAACACTGTTATGCGGCTCATCGAGAAGAGAGGGGTCACCGATCGGTATATACTCTTCGGAGGAATGATTGTCTTCTGTGTACTAATGCTTTTGATTTGGAAGTATTTGACATAACTATCGGGTTTTGTATATAAAATAACTGTTATTTTATACGCGATTTAATGATTTATTTTCACATTTAAATTGTTATTTATGTCTGAATTAAAGCGATAATTATTTTGTTTAGTAATTGTTATATAAATATCGAGTTTTGTATTAAACTATTCCCGTGTTTATAAAGTTTGGACATTTTTTTAGTGAAATTTTTCATACTTTTTATATTCATTTTTTTCATAAACTTGTCATTTATTTATTTGTCAAATCATTTTGTCAGTCATTTTCGTCATGTTTTTGATTGATTTTACAATTTATTCATTCAAATCATTATATCTTAAACTCACACTTATTTGTGTTAACATGTTTTTATTCATTTACTTTTCTCACAATTAAACTACAAATTCCTACAAAAATGTATCATTAAATACGAGCGAAAGTATTGAACACATAATTGCCATTCATTTTGATATAAACCACAAAAATCAATGCAATGACCAAAACGCTGATCAAAACCAAATCCCATTTGTTTCCGAAATAGTTTCTTAAGTCAAACAAATTGAAAACCTTTTCAATCCGTCGAAAGAGTTTAGCCTTTTGTTTGGCCAAAACTACGGCAACTCTGGCGTCGCTATCGATCTGTGCGGACATCTCGTAGAAGATGAGCGCCATATCTGTGTCTCTCTTCACTCCTAAACCCTTTTCGTGTAAATAACCCAAATTGAAGAGAGCCTGCGATGAGTACCGGTATTCCGATGCCTTCCGATAGTAATGGGCGGCCATTTCGTAGTCGACTGGTGTTCCCAATCCATAGTAGTGACAATCGCCGACTTTGATCCGAGAGTAAGACATTCCCTGTTCTGCCGATTGTGTCCAATATTTGAAGGCAAGAATCGGTCGCTCGTTATCGTTGATTCTGTGGCCACGGATGGGCTGATTGTCCAAAATGAAAGCACTGTTACTCTGAGCGCTTTCGTAACCCAATTCCGACAGAAAGGTGTACTTCAGGAACGCCTGCAATACGTTGCGATTCTTGTGGTAATTGTCGGCATCAGTCAACTCTTGAGACCAGACGCCTCTTTCGGCCACTGATTTAAAATAATAAACGGCTTTCGCACACGATTTGGGCACTCCGTGTCCGCCGGCGTAGAGTTGACCCAAATTGTAAAACGCGAGCAAATGCTGGGATTGGAGGCTGAATGTGAAGAAACGGACGGCTTGACGGTAATCGCGAGCGACACCCAAACCGTTCAGATACATGAGTCCGATGTGATACAGACTCTCAACCCATCCCTGTCTCGAAGACATTGCGAAATAATTGAATGCGTGCTCGAAGTCGACGGGAACTCCTTTGCCCCGAAGATACATCAGTCCGAGACCTGACTGTGCGATCGGATTGTTTTTCTGTGCCGAAGCCGTAAACAAACGGTACGCTTCCGTCAGATTCTGTTTCGCGGAATCGTCTAAATATATTCTTCCCAATAATGCCATTGCGTTTGGATTCTTAGATTTGGCCGCTTTTGTCAAGTATTCAAAAGCCTGGTTCACATCCCTCTCCACACCAAACCCACCGAAATAGTATAGTTGTCCTAAAGTCACGGCAGCGCTTATAATGCCATTGCGTTTGGATTCTTAGATTTGGCCGCTTTTGTCAAGTATTCAAAAGCCTGGTTCACATCCCTCTCCACACCAAACCCACCGAAATAGTATAGTTGTCCTAAAGTCACGGCAGCGCTTATGTCACCCTTTTTGGCCAAAAATCTATAATAATCGATGAGATCTGTGTCCAGACTTTGCTTTAAACCGCCCTTTTGTTGCCACAAATGATGACTTCTGATTATCTGACCGCCGCTGGTGTGAGACTCGTCGACAACATTTGTGGCCACACTGTGGTAGAGGTCAAGAGCTTTGCGGCAATTCTTTTCCTCTCCTATGCCGTACAGATATCTGAATCCAACCGCCATTTTGGCCAAAGAATTGTCTAAATTAGCGGCTAATGTGTAATGAAGAAGAGCTTTTTCTTGGTCTGAATCCACTCCCAAACCAAAAGCATAGACAAAACCAAGAAGAAGATGAGCGCCAGAACTTTCATTAGTTGGTATACTTTGCAAGTATTTGATGGCCTTTTTAGCGTTAAATGGCAAGTGATCCGCAAATATGTGAGACTTTGCCACCAATTCTTTGGCCTTTTGGTGGTTAAGTTGAGCCGATTCTTGCAAAAGAGTGAACGCCGTCTTCGGATTGGCTTTATTTGAATTCAACGCCAAAATTGCTTTTTCATATAAATCTATAGCTTTTTGATCGTTATTAGCATTCAATTGATTATTCTTTGAATTAATATCTCCTGACTCTACACTTAAACCACAATAACTGTTGATTAAAATGAATGAAAATGAATAAATCACTACAAATGAGACCATGTTTTAAGAATTTTGTGTTTACTTTGATTATACGTTTACTAAATGCCTTTGATTTGCATTAAAATTAACGATAATTATTGCATTTGAATGCAATCAATATGTTATCATTATTATACTCACGCTATGAATATGTTTGTGCAATAATTTAACAATTTATACAAAATACAAACAATTCAATCAATTATAATATAATTCACAAGTTTATTGATATCAGTCATATAGTCTTTTTATAATTATAATATAAGTGATCACTCTTTGAGTGAACAACATTTTGATAATCAATTCATTGTTATATAAATGCCTAAAATTCAGTTTCAATCATACCGTATAAGCAATAAAATAATAAATAAAGTATTTTATATCTCGTAAAACATTAACTAATTTTTAACAAAAAACA